GGATAGTAGTCTGTGGAGTTATCTATGATAATGCCTGCTCTTAGTGGGAATAAAGTGTTGGTCCAGATATGGTCAAGTAGTGAGGCACTTGTCTCGTGATTCTTGTTGGTCTGGTTATAGATGGTAGAAGTAAGCAGTTGTCATAGTGTTAGTGAATTCAGTTACTTATGGGTTGTGTTCGTGGATGAGGGTATGTTGTAGTCACCTGTAAGTATCAGGTGGTGTTGATTCATCTCTGAGTCAGTTATTGGTTGGCTGGTAACTGACTGGCTGGCTGGCTGGCTGGCAACTGGCTGGCTGGCTGGTAACTGGCTGTCTGGCTGGTAACTGGCTGGCTGGCTGGTAACTGACTGGTTGGCTGGTAACTGACTGGTTGGCTGGTAACTGACTGGCTGGTAACTGGCTGGCTGGCAACTGGCTGGCTGGCTGGATGGCAACTGGCTGGCTGGTAATTGGCTGGCTGGCTGGCTGGTAATTAGCTGGCTGGCTGGTAACTGGCTGGCTGGCTGGCTGGTAACTGGTTGACTGGCTGGATGGCTGGCTGGACGGCAACTGGCTGGTAACTGGTTGGCTGGCTGGTAACTGGTTGGCTGGTTGGCTGGCTGGCAACTGGCTGCATGGCTGGCAACTGGCTGGCTGGCTGGCTGGTAATTGGCTGGTTGGTAACTGGCTGGGTGATAACTGGCTGACTGGCTGACTGGCTGGCTGGTAACTGACTGGTTGGCTGGTAACTAACTGGTTGGCTGGTAACTGACTGGCTGGCTGGTAACTGGCTGGCTGGTAACTGGCTGGCTGGTAATTGGCTGGCTGGTAACTGGCTGGCAACTGGCTGGCTGGTAACTGGCTGGCAACTGGCTGGCTGGTAACTGGCTGGCAACTGGCTGGCTGGCAACTGGCTGGCTGGCAACTGGCTGGCTGGCAACTGGCTGGCTGGGAACTGGCTGGCTGGTAACTGGCTAGTAACTGGCAGGCTGGCTGGCTGGCAACTGGCTAGTAACTGGCAGGCTGGCTGGCTGGCAACTGGCTAGTAACTGGCTGGCTGGCAACTGGCTGGCTGGCTGGCAACTGGCTGGCTGGCTGGCAACTGGCTGGCTGGCTGGTAACTGGCTGGCTGGCTGGTAACTGGCTGGCTGACTGGCTGGTAACTAACTGGTAACTGACTGGTAACTGACTGTCTGGCTGGTAACTGGCTGGCTGGCTGACTGGCAGGCTGGCTGACTGGCAGGCTGGCTGGCTGGCAACTGGCTGGCTGGCAACTGGCTGGCTGGATGGCAACTGGCTGGATGGCTGGCTGGCTGGCTGGCTGGCTGGTAACTGGTTGGCTGGCTGGCTGGCTGGTAACTGGTTGGCTGGCTGGTAACTGGCTGGCTGGTAACTGGCTGGCTGGTAAATGGCTGGCTGACTGGCTGGCTGGCTGGTAACTGGCCAGCTGGTAACTGGTTGGCTGGCTGGTAACTGGCTGGCTGGCTGGTAACTGGCTGGCTGGCTGGCTGGTAATTGGCTGGCTGGTAATTGGCTGGCTGGCTTGAAACTGGCTGGCTGGCTGACTGGTTGGCTGGTAACTGGCTGGCTGGCTGGCTGGCAACTGGCTGGCTGGCTGGCTGGCAACTGGCTGGCTGACTGGCTGGCTGGTAACTGACTGGCTGGCAACTGACTGGCTGGCAACTGACTGGCTGGCAACTGGCTGGTAACTGGTTGGCTGGCTGGCTGGATGGCTGGCTGGTAATTGGCTGGCTGGTAATTGGCTGGCTGGCTGGTAGACTTTGGCTCTGTCTCTGTCTTTATCTATCTTTGTCTATCTCTGTCTCACAGATACACATAAATACAATTATACATAGTGTAAATTACCTAGGATAACCCAAAAATCCAGACAATGTGCTTTACTGTGCTTGTCAATATAACGTGCAGTATGCATGACCAGCAAGTAATACGTGTTTACACTTGCTCTGGAACCAGACATGACAATGCTTTCGTGTGTAATACCAGTTGGTTCACGAGTGGCTCTCTCTGAGACAGAGACAGGCAGAGACAGAAAGAGAGACAAGCAGACAGACAGATAAGCAGAGACAGAGATAAACAGAGAGCAAGACAGAGCTAAATGGACAGATAGAGCACTAGACAGAGACAGACAGAGCTAGACAGACAGATGGACATGTTTATGTGTAACAGTGAAAACAAATAATGCCAGGGCCATGTATGTTCATCAAATTTCACCACTGCACTGCCAGCAGTGGACTGACACTTGTCTTACATCATGCTTCAAAGAAACTTATTATTATGATTATTATTATATACTCCCGCATATCCAAAATGACTATGAAATCACAAGAACTACAACAAATTATAATTATCAGAACATAAAACTTACATAAAATAAAATAAAAACGAGAAAAAAGGGCAGCGCTTATAATTGCCATCAGGTGATCATCAAGTGTCAACTTCACGGTCTCATATCTCAATAAGTACTGACCCTAAAAAATTTTTTTATTCTATGTCATGTAGAAAAATGCATTCTTTATTTCTATAAAAAAATTCAAAATAATTTGGAGCACTGGGTGAGAAAACATAGATCTATTTTTGGACAGTTAACAGGTTAAGCTTCCTCATAAAATAAAAAAACAAACAAAATAAACCTGAGAGGAAAATGTAATGGTGTTATGTGGTCATAAATGAACATTAGCGAATCTTAGTTACAAGAATAAAAAATTCAGAATACAACAAATGGAACAATTCACAAATAACCAACACTTAACTAGAGCTTATAATGAAGTTTCAGTCTGTTCTGGACAATTGTCATGCCACAACTAAGAGAAAAAGCAGAGAAGACCAGACGACAGGTTGGGAGGGGAAAAAGGAAAGGGTGCAGTAATAGTAGTAGTAGCAGTAGAATTAGCAGCAGCAATAACAAAGGAAGCACAAGCAAGTAAAGGAAGCAGCAGTGGTAGTGTTAGAAATGAGTTAGTTGCAGTAGTAGTACTGTACTAGTGTCTTATTAACAATGTCAGAGTTAATATAATGATTAACAATTCATTTACTTCATATATACTTTAAGAGCATTAACCCTTTCAGGGTCCATGCCATAGATCTACTTCTTTACATTGAGGGTCCAAACCGTAGATCTACACCAAAATTCTAGCGGCGTCAAATTTAGGGCAAGAAGGCTGGTAGGCCTACATCTGAGAGAACGGGTCTGGGTGGTCACTGTGCGCACTATAGAAAACATCTGGATGCTCGCATGGCATTGTGGGAATGCTACCAAAGTAGCTTTGTTCACCATGCCAGGTGGCAAGGAAGCTCTCACTCCCCACTCACTGTCTGGCCGAATTCTGACTCTCCTCTTCACACATTACAGTCTAAGACTGATGGAAGTGGATCTGAAGAGGAATTCTATGGTTTGAACCATATGGTACATTGTACCATATGGTACATTATACCATATGGTACAGGGTACAGGGACCCTAATGGAAATAAGTGACTTTTTTTGGGTTATCCTAGGATTTTATACATATGCTGCTATGTATGATAATCTATGTAATTTTATTTGTGTATACCTAAATAAACTTACTTACAATGCCACATGTGCTTGAGTAAGCTTATTCAGGTGTACACAAATACAGTTACATAGATTATCATACATAGCAGCATATGTATAAAATCCTAGGATAACCCAAAAAAGTCAGGGTGACTTATTTCCATAGGGATCCCTGTATCTGTACCATATGGTGTCCTGTACCATATGGTACCCTGCACCATATGGTATCCTGTACTGTATGGTACCCTATACCATGTAGTACAATGTACCATATGGTACCCCGTAACATATGATACCCTGTACCATATGGTCAGTAGAAGGTGTTGGTGCCACGAGGCACCAGCCAAGACTGAGTGGCCACGCAAGCTAGTGACTCGGCAGTTTCCAAGACAAAGTGCTTTGTCATCCACTTCAAGGAACATGTCCAGTGGCTGTACATTTGTAAATATATAATACAGTGGAACCTCAAATATCAAACTGCTCCCAACTCAACTAACTATTTAAGTGTATTTTTGTAAGTGTTTTTATAAGTGTATTTTTGAGAGTCTGAAATGAACTAATCTAATTTATATTATTCCTGATGGGAATAAATTCGTTCAGTAACGACACTTGAACAGCTGTCTGGAACGAAAAAAGTTTGATATTTGAGGTTCCACTAGATTACTAATATACAACATTTTTGCATATTTTTGTTATAAACAATCATTGTAAATGAAATAATGATGAAAATACTAGTGTGTTTATTGTGTTGAATACAACAGTACCATATGGTACAATGTACCATATGGTACCACTGCACCATATAGTACCATTGTGCCATATAGTACCATTGTACCATATGGTGCTATTGTACCATATTGTACCATTGTGCCATATAGTACCATTGTACCATATGGTGTCATTGTACCATATTGCACCACTACTGTATGGCACCATTGCACCCTATGGCACCATTGTACCATATAGTACTATATGGTACCATTGTATTCAACACAATAACCACACTAATATTTTCATAATTTTGTTTACAATAAACTTGCACACAAGTTTGTAAGCAATATAATAATAGACAAATTAGTGCAGTTATTATGTTGAATACAATGAGTGTACACTTATACAATATACATTCTATTGGTCTCACAGGCCACAGAAGTTACTGGAAAAAAATATTAGAAAAGAAAAGAAAAAAGTAACAAAAACCTAAAATAAAATAATGCAATTTTATGGAAGTCGCCAATGTTGCTGCCACCAGGTCATTGAGGGTCAACTTCACGCCTCTATATATCGGTAACTACTGATCAAAAAAAAAAAAAATTTTGTTTTATTACCTACAGAAAATTATCTTTAATTCTGTAAGTTTTTTTTTTTTTTTTTTTTTTAAATTTCTTGGACCCTGGTGCACCCTCTGAGATTTAGCCTCTGAAAGGGTTAATAAGGTGTATGGGTGTACATAGTATCCTTTACTCACCACATGAGCCATGAGGCCCCAGTAGCCTTGTGGCAGGAGGAGGCTTCATCAGGGCGGCGACCACAGCAGCCAAACACCACACCCAGTGTGAAGCACAGTGTTATCACTAGAAGAAGTATACACAGGCCCAAAAAGCCCCAGTATCTGTACCATATAAAAAAATAATTACAGCTTCTATGTATGTCAGTATACAAAAGTTATTTAAATATCTATCAATATTTTTTTTTTTTTTACACAACAACCATCTCCCACCTATGCAGGGTGACCTGAAAAAGGAGAGACAAAGAAGTGCAAGAAAGACATACAATACTGACAAGATGAAAGTTAAGACACATGTGCAACATCTGGGTATCTTTATTGCAGAAGTTTTGCCATACAGTGGCTTTATCAATACAGATTCTAGGACATAACTTCAAGACAGCAGAACTATATACATCTACCATCCGACTTACGACCTGCTCGACTTACGACCACTCGAATTACGACCGTGTGTTTTATGCCAAATTTCTGGGAAATAAACAACTATTTGTGTTGTACACAGCCTTTATCCTAAACCTTACAGTATAAAACAAAGTACTAACAACATAAAAAGTAAAGTAAAACATGAAATACCAAAATAAAACAATAAAATAAAGTCATTACAAAAATGTTTTGTTGATATTCAGTAGTAAAGTTCGACTTACGGCCGGTTTCTCGGAACCGAACTCTGTCGTAAGTCAGATGGTAGGTGTATCTCATCTTTTGTGTATAGTTCTACTGTCTTGAAATTATGTCCTAGAATCCGTATTGATAAAGCCACTGGATGGCAAAATATCTACAATAAAGATACGCAGATGTTGCACATGTGTCTTAGCTTTCATCAAGAGTTGAAGAAACGAAGTTTTCCTTCTTTTTCCATTTAGTAATTTATATTGAAGAATGGGTTATTAGCCCCCTGCTCCCAGCATTTCAGTCGCCTCTTAAAATACTTCCTCACAGAGGTGAAAAGAAATAAGAACAAGAATTATTAGGAAATACAGGAAAACTTAGATATGTTTATACATATACAGGTAAATGCATGTGTAGTGTGACCAAAGTGTAAGTAGAAGCAGCAAGACACCTGTTATCTTGCATGTTTATGAGACAAAGAATAGACACCAGTAATCCTACCACTGTGTAAAACAATTATAAGTTTCCATTTCACACTCATTTGGTAGGATGGTAGTACCTCCCTGGGTGGTGACTGTCTACCAACCTACTACATCAATATACATTCTGATAAATCTGAATTACGTATATTTTCCACAATTTTAACAAAGGACAATTTTGGATTTAGTGGACTAAGTCCACTAAATCCAAAAAGAAATTTATCCAGCAGACTGCAATAATAACAGATAATTCTGGATTTAATAGACTTTGTCTGTCAAATCTGATTTAAAGAGTAAATGTGATAAGGCCCAAGAGGCCAAAAATCAGTGATGCTGATCAAAGTAGTCTAGGAGGTGGGATCAAGAGCCAAACCTCAACCCTGGCACATATAAATGGGTGAGTACACCCTTCCTTCTGGCACCCTCTCCCTCATCCTACATATTATCCCTACACACATGTACTGTATGTATTGTATTTCAGATGTGTAACATGTATACATTATTGAACAATGTTTAATACTATTTCAAAGTGAACAGGAACAGTACTGAATATAAAATACTGAGTAAAAATGCATTGGAAAATAAACTAATTGAAATTAGGTAAGGAATATGATGGCTTGGGAATGAATCTCCAGTTATAGCATGGGAAAACAAGTTCTGAGCATCAAACAACAGACTAGCAATGAATTTTCAGGCCTGCATTAATGAAATAAGTTGTAGCCCTGCTGTATAATAAAAGTATACAAAAAACAATATTTTATAACTATTTTTAATGTACTGTACAGAAAACTTTAAGCAAAAGAGGACTTTTAAAAGTTTGCAAAATATTTTTATAGGTGAAATAGTTATCGAGTTGTGGGCACATCATAGCACACCATACTGCAATACCTTTCTCAAACAAACTAGTCTATATTTATTGTATGATATAGAAAAATGTCATCTTAAAAAGTGTATACAGTGGAACTCCAGTTTTCGCATACTCCAGTTATCAGATGTTTCGGTTTTAGAACTGTTTTTTGAGCAAAATTTTGTTCTGGATATCGGACCTTGATCTGGTAATCGGACGTATTATACGCATCCCCGTGGGTCGCTCATATGTTCGCGACTCACTTTTGGGCACGTTAAATGTCTTGTTTTACGTTAATATAGAGACTTCCATTAATCCATCTATGATATTTTCTTCAAAATTATATAAGAAACACGTTACATAGCATAGTATAAACATGCAATCTTTATATGCTATTGAGTGGTGAGTCAGTGGAGGGAAAACATTACGTTTTTCTCTTTTTCTCTGGTGGAGCATTTGAGGAAACTGTATGAATCTGCGTCTAGTTTTTGTTTACAATTCTCGGCATGAATTATTCATTACTTCTCCCTTTGTTTATGATGGCATCTACAGGTAGTTGTTAGAAACGATTAGACTCAGTGAACAAGTTATGTTGACGGTAATAATATGACTCTGGGCCGCATTAACCCTTTGACTGTTTTGGTCGTACATATACGTCTTACGAGCCAGTGTTTCAGACGTATTAATACATACAAATTCTAGCGACTTCAAATCAAGCAGGAGAAAGCTGGTAGGCCCAAGTGGTGTAGTCAGTGTGCACCACATAAAAAAAATCCTGCAGCACACAGTGTATGAGAAAAAAAAACTGACCGTTTCTTTTTTGGATTAAATCGGCAACTTTGAGGTGTATTTTCATATAGAATTTATCGTTGTACTCTTGTCTTCATGGTCTCACATGATAAAATGGAAAACATATTACAGAAATATCACTAGTGCACTGATATTATATGTACCATTTTTACAATAATGAAGTAGTCTGCAAAACAGTAAATTTTGTATTTTTTTGTATGAATAAAAAATCAAAATAGAAAGCAATAATATAAGAGGGGCCTAGAGATGTGATTAATGAACAGAGGATATGTTATTTTAGTGCCAAGAATGTCTACATTGTTTATTCTGGACCCTATTTTGAAATTGGCATCTTTCTTAATTTGAATGAAATTGGCCAAATTGCCTATTTCTAACCATTTTATTGGGTAGTTCAAATCAGTAAATGGGCAGTTTCTTGTACTCAACTGATAGAAAAAATGGAGTTCTAAAGAAACAGCTATGAGTTTGGTCAACTGGAACAACTGAATTGGCCAAACACAAGGCTCAAAGTCGGCGTAATCGCCGATGCGTATATGTTGCCGAGACCGCTAACTTCACGGGAGAGTAATTCCACGAGTTTTCGACCAAATTTCGTACTTTTGATGTCATTACCATTGGGAAAAGATTCTCTATCATTTCATGACAAAAAATAATTTTTTTTTTCCAAAAATTTTGCAACAAAGAATGACAGTTTCAGAAAGGGGCTTGCGACAGTCAAAGAAACTGCCTATTTACTGATTTGAACTACCCAATAAAGTGGTCAGAAATTGGCAATTTTATCCAATTTCACGAAAATTAAAAAAGACGCCAATTTCAAAATAGGGTCCAGAATAAACAATGTAGACATTCTTGGCACTAAAATAACATATCCTCTGTTCATTAGTCACATCTCTAGGCCCCTCTTATATTATTATTGCTTTCAATTTTGATTTTTTATTCATACAAAAAATACAAAATTTACTGTTATGCAGAATACTGCATTATTGTAAAAATGGTATAAATAATATCAGTGCACTAGTGAAAGAATATTAGACTCCCAAGTTGACGTGTATTGGACATGTGGTGTGATTTGCTTACTCTTGAACATTGGTAAAAATTGAATATTTCCATTATTTTGAGCTCAATTTCAAGGTCGTTTTCATTGTGAAACCAATCAACATCAGCTCTATTTCTGTAATATGTTTTCCATTTAATCACGTGAGACCATGAAAACGAGAATACAACGATAAATACTAAACGAAAATACACCTCAAATTCAGCGTTTTAATCCAAAAAAACGGTCAGCTTTTTTTTCTCATCATGCACTGCATGCTGCAGGATTTTTTCTTATGTGGTGCAAATTGGCCACAGAAACCCATTCTCTCACATGTGGGCCTACCAGCTTTCTCCTGCTTGATTTGAAGCTGCTAGAATTATTGAGTATATATACGTCTGAAACACTGGCTTGTAAGATGTATATATACAATCAAAACAGTCAAAGGGTTAAATATCATGTAGCTATGTAGGTACATGTATGTATGTAGCCCAGGCTGTGCTGGCTACCTACCTCTCCTGGCTACTTAGCAAGTTTATTCAGGTATATACAAATACAGTTACATACATAGATTATCATACATAGCAGCACATTAGCACTTCACCTTACGGCATTCTGCTAATATGGCAATTTCAAATTATGACCAAAATTTGCTATATGGCAAGCGGTCTTTCAAATATGGCGTGCCCCACCCAGTTTGTTTACGTTCATTGTGAGCACATCTATTATGTCTGGAAACTTTCCATAATTTCAAGTGTTTTAAAGTTATTGCATATTTTGTATGTACTCTGATAATTATGCTTATGTGTACCTGTACCTAAATATACTTACACACTGTGCTGGCATGCAAGTACACATTAAAATCACTAAGTCTCTCTCTACTCATGATGCCATAGTAATATGTACTACGTAATAATAATCTCTCTTGGGCACATTAAATGTTTTATTTTACGTTAATATAGACATTTTCATTAATTCATCTATGATATTTTTTCAAAATTATATAAGAAACACGTTACATAGCATATAAACATTATACATACAACCACAGAGTAAAAATTGACAAATATATGATTTGTTTGCAAAGAGGCTTTGTAGAAGTGTCGGAAGAATTACGTTTTCTCTAGCCAAACACTGGGGGATAACTGTTGATAAATATTCCTTTCGTATGCCTTCACTCTATATATAGCTATTCACATCATTGTGGGTTTAGTGCTTCCTTTTTATTATGATTATAATAATAACTTTTTTTTTTTTTTTTTTTTTCAACAAGTCGGCCGTCTCCCACCGAGGCAGGGTGACCCAAAAAAGAAAGAAAATCCCCAAA